CAGAGAAGAGAGAAATGGCTACCCTGATTGTTCCTCCAGTTTTATCTTCGCCTCGCGATGACGCCATGCAACTTTACAAAGCTTTCAAGGGTAAAATTATTCCTCAGCAATAATTCATGTTTTCCCCTCCTTTAACTTTAGATCATTTCTTGTTCTTCTTTGTATAGGGTTTGGAGTGTTCTCTTTGGTTTGATTTGTCTTCTGTACTTTAATTCATCGTCCTTTGTGGCTTCCATGTCTTTTTCTTTCTAAAATATTGAATTTTTGTTGAGGATGAGTTACTGCTCTCATGAATTAAGCTTCAATCATGACAAAAAAGAAAAATCAGAAGAGCCAGCTTGCTTTTAACATTTAAAAAAAAAAAAGCTAAAATTGTTTAAGAAGAGAGAAAGATAGTTGTTATTATGATGATACTACTATTAGGTGTGATTCAGGTATTATTATCTGTGTAGATTTTCCTAAATGCTTTCTAGAATTGTACAAGTAACCCTAGCTAAACAAAGAGGAAATGCATAGGTTGAGAGAATTTTCGAAATTTAGCACATCCTAGTTTTGAAATTGCAGTGTGCTGCTATCAGGAACAGATAAATGTGATCATCCAATTTTGGCTTAGTTTCCAGGATTGAGTAATTTCTTATGAGTGCATATAGTACTTTAAAATCAAGAAGGTGACTTAAAAAGTGGTACCATTCATTAAGTTATCGTGTGTTGCTATTCTGCTTGCCTTTGAGTGAATTACTTGGCTTGTGCAATGCAGGATTTGGATGTGATAAAAAAGCACTCATTAACATCCTTGCCCATCGTGATGCAACTCAGCGTGCTCTTATTCAACAAGAATACAGAGCTATGTATTCTGAAGAGCTAACCAAACGCTTGGCCAAAGAGCTTAGCGGTAATCTTGAGGTATTGATGGCGGGTAGAAATTCTGGGATAATCTTTGATAACTCTATAACTTGTCACTATTGTTATTAAGCAATAATTGTAGAGGGCTGAAACTTATTGCATTCAAAGAAAAGATTTAAAATGTTAGGGCAGCAGGAACATCAAAAACAAATGAAACTGCATTTGGCAAAATTTGTGATCCCTCCTTTAGCCTTTTCTCTTTCAAGCTTCTGTTTCTTCATCTCCTTTATCATTTTGAATGTTTCCAGAAAGCAGTCTTGCTTTGGATGCATGATCCAGCTGGAAGGGATGCTATCCTAGTGAGGCGGGCTTTGAGTGGTGACACTATTGATCTCAGAGCTGCCACAGAAGTGATATGCTCACGGACTCCTTCTCAAATACTACATTTCAAACAACTTTATCATTCCATGAATGGTATCTACCTTGAGCATGATATTGAACTTCACGCATCTGGTGATCATAAAAGGTAGTCGCTCTCTACGTTTTCCCTGTTAAATGATGATCATAAAGCTATTTGGATTACTTAAAAGAGGATAACCATGCCTAGAAATAACTTTGAAGTAAATGAGTAGTAGTAGATTGTTGAACTTTGATTTTATGCAGTTATAGTCTTTGGGAAAGATGAGGGGAAAATGAGGAGCTGTGAAATAACTCTTGTATTTATATCATTTACCATTTTTGGCTGGGGCACCGGGCACCTTTGTCTTTATTAATTGGAATTGAGGTGCATTATCTGGTCATGACCTTATCCTAGTATTGTATCTGATTCCAATTCATTAGTTATTCTTGTGGAGTCTTACTTTCCTGATGCAAATTGGAGTCTACCTTGTATTATCTATACAATTTAAACAAGTAATTGCATTTATTGCTTCTTATGAAAGAAGATATTGATGTATTATCTTCTCTTAATCACTACAGTTGCTTCTAGCATTTGTAAGCACGATGCGCTATGAAGGCCCAGAAGTTGACAGAGCTACTGTGGATTATGATGCTAAAGCTCTTTTCAAAGCTGGGGAGAAGAAATTGGGAACTGATGAGAAGACTTTTATACGAATTTTCTCTGAACGAAGCAGGGCACACTTGGCTGCTGTTAGTGCTGCTTATCACAGCATGTATGGCAGGGAATTGAAAAAGGTAAGCTGACTTATTTCAAAAACCTATTCGGATTTCCAATTTTTGCTGACCAATGGACCGCAACTGCTACAGGCTGTAAAAAACGAAACCTCTGGACACTTTGAGTTTGCCCTCTTGACTATTTTGCAGTGTGCTGAGAATCCAGCAAAATACTTTGCGAAGGTATAGGTTACATTTATTTAAATCTTATGAAGTTACCAGTTTCAAAAAATTCTTATCAAGTTATGAACACAATTACCATTCTGCCTATAACATGGAAAATTTTGAACTCGTGCTTCTGGTTAGCTCTTTCTTTTTCCTCAAATGATATTGCTCCCTTTTCATTATTTTTTAATACTTGGAATTGTGGATGTCGTTTACTTCTGTTATTTTTCTTTACCTTCCTTTACTCGGACTTGAAGCAAAAGATTTTGTATCTTCTGACTTCTGTAAGCTTACCTCATGAAAACAGGAGAACAAGGATATTAACTTACAAATATCCCTCTCCTTTTCTGAGTTTTTAGCTAAACATGAAGCAACTACTTAACCATTCTCTTCTGCTGTTTATCTGCACCTTACATATGTTTGATGGATGCAGGAGTTGCACAAGGCAATGAAGGGCTTGGGGACGAATGATACGACTCTCATTCGGATAGTAGTCACACGAACTGAGATCGATATGCAGTATATAAAAGCAGAGTACCAGAAAAAGCATAAGAAATCTCTGAATGAGGCAGTTCATTCGGAGACTTCTGGTGATTATCGGACCTTTCTTCTATCTCTTCTGGGTCCTGGTCACTAATGAAGAGTGAACACCATATAGCAGGTGTTTGAAGTGTGCCATCAGTGTTGAAACCCATATGTGTAAAGCAGGAAGTTTCTGTTGCATGTGAGTAAGCCATAAACAATTATGCGTTTACTCTCTCTTAATTGATTTGTGCTCAATTGTGAGTTTGGTTGGACATCCTTTTATTTTAGCCTTAATGCTAAACGTGTGATCTCTCAGAATGGTGTTGTAAAGGTGTGCCTTCAGATCGTCACTTAAGAATCATCTTTGACTTTTGAGTATTCTTGTGACAAATGTAATTCTAGTTCGGGGGGGGAAAAGAATCGCCTTTTGCTCTTTCTTTTTGTCTTGCTTTCAATAGTAAAATTATACTACTATAAGTTTCCCCCCTCCCCCTAAATAGTACTCCATTGTTCCAATTATGTTACATTATTTCTTTATTGGTCTTTTTAAAAAGGCCACATTTTTATATTAACAATAATTTAATTTTAAATTTTTTATTTTATTTTTAATGAGAAACTTTTAAAGTTTTTGTGTATATGATATACTTAAGACCATAAGTTTTATAATCGTGTAAATGTTAACTAATTTTGGATGACCAGCCGTTCAAAATCAATTAATAATAATTTATATATTTAACTAGGTTACAACAAAATTTTGAAGGCCATTTATCAAATAATAGATAATTGATATAATAAATAACTTATTTAAATTAATTTCAAACCGTTGGAAATTTATTAAACAATAAACAATTTAACTTGCTAATTGATATAACAGCAAATATAGAAAGAATGAGAAATTATGTTAAAATAAGAGCATCGAGTAGTGTTTCCTACATGCCAGAACTAGTCACAGTGATAGTAACAGTTGTAAAATTTTGCTATTTTTTTTTCTTCACAGTAAAGAAGTTTTTAAATATGTTTGTGATGGAAGAAATAAAAAAAATCTGTGATAATGATTTTCTATTTTTTTTTTCTTTTCTAAAAGCAGGTCTTCTTTTATTTGCCTTTTCCCCAAGGTATAAATTTTTCAGTGAATCTTTTTCAAAATTGATCTATGACATAAAAAGCAATCTAGGGAAATGCACAAATTATCTTCTTTAAATAAAGATATAATAAAAATTTCTAGTACATGTCACACCTCCTTTTTCCGTCCCCGCAAGGGGTGAAGGAGTTTTTTCCAATTAAAGGACAATCGAAACGGGATTTGTTTATTTATTTCAGAGTCGCCACTTGGGAGATTTAGGGTGTCCCAAGTCACCAATTTAATCCTGAATCGAGGAAAAGAATGACTCTGTATTACAGTCTGCGAACCAAAAATTCGGATAAGGAATTCTGTTAACCCGGGAGAAGGTGTTAGGCATTCCCGAGTTCCGTGGTTCTAGCACGGTCGCTCAACTGTCATATTTGGCTTAAANACCAGAAATCCGGATAAGGAATTCTGTTAACCCGGGAGAAGGTGTTAGGCATTCCCGAGTTCCGTGGTTCTAGCACGGTCGCTCAACTGTCATATTTGGCTTAAATATCTGATTTTTATACAATTATGAGCTCATGTGCAAATTTTTAACTCAGCGTCGGGGTGGAGCTGCAACGTCGAGCAGCAGCACCATGGACATGGCCATGGCAGCAACAACTTGACGGAGAAGAAGCAGCAACGCGACGGGGGGGCTGGACTCGGAGCAGCTGCTCGACGAACTTGAAGACNTCCGATTTTCTTTACATTTTTTGCTCTATTTTCTTCTAATTTCTAATTAATAAAACTAAAATTCTAAATTAAGTTATAAACTAAATTAACTTATCAAAAATACTAATTAATTCCAAATAACTATTATCGCATATTTAAATAGCAATTAACGATAAAATCGCACAATTTAGACGTTAAATGCTAAAATGCAACGTACATTATTTTTGTATGATTTTCTCATTTTTGTAAAACAAACTTAAATAAATACTAAATGAAAATGCGACATATTTTATATTTTTATTAATTTAAACAAATAAACACGCACAGACAAAAATACCACAAAATTCAAAAATTGCACACCAAGGAAAAATTATTTTATTTTGAATTTTTTGGGAGTAATTCTTTCATAGGGCAAAAATCACGTGCTTACAGTACAAATGCATAAACTATCTTTTTTCCACAAGGTCTTTTTCTTTTTAAATTCTGGAAATAAATGCTTAAAAGAAAATGAGAAAAATAAAGCAAAAATAGAAGAGTGCTACACTGCACCCGAAAGACGGGCACTCAAGTCAAGCAGACGGAACAAACAAACCCTAGTAGCGTACACATCCAGAAGCATAGCGTATGACTTAATCGGTAGAGACGCAGCGACAGAGCAGGGGTGAAAATGGAGATAACCATGGGGGAACCCGGCGAAATACTACCGGAGCACAAGCCGGAAAAGTCTCCATACGAAGTTCTGCAGCAAAGCAAAGCTTCAGTTGAGGAAATCGTTTCAAAAATGCTGTCCATTAAAAAAGAAAGCGCGCCGAAATCTGAACTTCGCGAACTCGTCACTCAGATTTTAATCAATTTCGTCTCTCTACGTCAGGTTAACTTCTTTTCGTTCAATCTCCACTTGTTCTTTTGTTTTTCCCTAATGCTTGTGTATTAACTACCTTAAACATCTTCCCATAGGCAAATAGATCAATCTTGCTCGATGAGGATCGCGTGAAAGGTGAAACGGAACGTGCAAAAGCTCCCGTCGACTTCACCACGCTGCAGCTTCACAACTTGATGTATGAAAAAAGTCATTATGTGAAAGCTATAAAGGCTTGCAAAGATTTCAGGTCAAAATATCCTGATATTGAACTGGTTCCCGAGGAAGAATTCTTTAGAGATGCACCTGAGGAGATAAAAAGCTCTGTTATGTCAAAGGACAACTCACACAATTTGATGCTAAAGCGGCTCAATTATGAGCTATTCCAGGTAACTAGCTTAATTCAATCGGCAAGCACTCCTTTCTATTTCCAAATTAGTTTAATATCTCAGTATCTTGTTCTAAAGGGAGTTATTAGGCTTGGTGTTTCATGTTTTTTGGTGAATTAAAATTGTTATTTGCTTCTAAAACTCATGTCTTCATGGACTATTATCTTTATTAAAACTACTAAATTGGTTTCAGAAGTGGTTTAGTGGAGAAGGAATCATATGAAGGTTGTTACAATCAATAAAGATAGACTCTAAAAGACTGAAACTATATGCAGCTTGGCTTCCTTTTAGTGGTGCTTTCAACCATGGATTCTGCACATATTGCACTTATATAATCTTTTATTTGTTGAGGTTGTAACATGTTATTGCAAGAGCTGGGAAAAATCTTGGTGTATTTTAGTATTGGCTAATGTTGAGATCAAATTCTATGCTTCTCTTTTATTTGGATAATAGTGAGGTCATATGGAGGTTCTTATGGTGAATAGAATCGAGAGACTGAAAATATACCCACCTTGGCTTCCCTTTAGTGGTACTTTCAACCGTGGATTCTGCATATATTGCACTTATAATCTTCTTCTAATGCATTTTATTTGTAGATGTTGTAACATGTTATTTCATGAGCTGAAAAAAGATCTTGGGGTCATTTAGTATTCGCTAATGTTGAGGTCAAATTCTATGCTTCTCATTTATTTCGAATTTGTATTAGATCATATGTATCAGCTGTATATGTTTGTAGAATAATTCCCATCTCTTATATGATCATCATCGGAGTAGCGTGTGTACGCACACGCATGTGTGATAAGTCTGGCTGTAGCCTTGTTTTGAGTTTAAATATTTTNTTGAGTTTACATATTTGCTGTGTCAGCGCAAAGAATTATGCAAGCTTCGTGAGAAACTGGAACAGAAAAAAAAGGCTCTACAGGAGACCATTGCAAACAGAAAGAAGTTCTTGTCAAGTCTCCCGTCACACCTAAAATCACTCAAGAAAGCATCCTTGCCGGTGCAGCACCAACTTGGAGTTCTGCACACAAAAAAGTTGAAGCAGTTGCAATATGCAGAGTTGCTTCCTCCGCCTCTCTATGTTATTTATTCACAGCTAATGGCCCAAAAAGAAGCCTTTGGAGAAAATGTGGAGCTGGAGATTGTTGGTAGTGTGAAGGACGCTCAAGCTGTTGCCCGCCAGCAAGCAAATAAAGACACTGGTTGGTCCCAGTCTATAGATTTCTTATTTGGGCTCATCATGTGTTTTTTTCTCTTTCCTGAAACTGCTGTGTAAACACTAATATCATTTTATCATATTATGCCTTCTTCATGTGCTCTGCTCTAGTCTGCTATAATGGCACCTATTTCAAAATTAAAGTCCGCCATAATGTTTATTTTCTCCGCCAGATTCAAGGTTGTTGATGCATTTCTTTGCTAGAAAAATTTTCTTTTAGGTAAACTGTATGATCACAAACTAAAGCCAAGACTTTATACTATTTTAACGGTAATTAAATATTTACAAACTTGATCTAAACTATTTCTCAATGTTGAACTCTGAAAATCCTTTTTCTGTCTATTTCTTTAACAAGGGGCTCTGTGATGGGTGTTTGTAAATATTATCATAGGCAGGGAGAAGAAAGGTTTGTTATACTTCAGTATAAATTTTCCTTCAAATAATGTTTGTTCAATTAAGACTAAGGTTTAGTCTTCATCAAAAATTAAAACTAAGGTTTAGTTGGGCGATTTTCATCTTTAGTGTCTATATTAATTTTTGAGAATATATTATTTCAAGTTGAGAAAATAAATCCTGTGTAGACTGCAGTTTTTAAAACTTTCCTAGTGATCGGGGTGTTAGTTGAATCTTAGTAATTCTAGGAGATTTCTCGGTTACGTTTGAGGATAACTACGCTTAATGCTAGTTATATAGTGGTTAAACAAATCCTTAAAATGTGACATAATCAAGAGAACATATTGGTTTCTTTGACTACTCATCAATATGTTTCTTTCCATCGTTTCTTATAATCAAAGTTACATATTATCAGATTGGATACACGTGGTTGAAACTAG